ACATCATAGTAAAATTAATACCTTCTCCGCTTCGCATCGAAGCTAAAATAAATTGATTTGTTTATTTATTCTTGTATTTTAAATTAAATATTTATTTTTTCAAAGTTATTTATATTAATATAATAACCAACACAGTAATATTGTATTCATTTTTAATAGTTGTTAATTAAACATAATAAAAAATTACTTTTCAAATAATTGAAAAAAAAAAGTGTTGCGTCATAAAAGGGAAATAGAAGTGTAGATGATATCTGACAGTCATTAACATCACTATTATAAAAAACGCTTCGATGCAAATGTGTTTAATTTCATAATTTGTATATTTTTAGTTTTAAATTTCTATGATTTAAAATTTTACTCAAATATTAAATATTTTGAAATGATTTTTTTTACGGTAGTGTATTTTTGTAATATTTAATTAATTTCTAAAAATAAGGATTTTTTTCTATTTTTCGCCACTAGCTGGTTTATTTACATTAAAATCGAGTTCTTTTGACATATTGTTCATTAAAATTGGTTCTGTGAGAGCTGAGAATTTGAATGGACAAATATAAAAAAACTAAATTACAGCTCACCAAACCAATACCTTCTTAGCTTCACATCGAAGTTAAAAAAATTACATTAAAAATTCATACATGTTTTACTTTTAATTAAAAAATATATACATAATTTTTCTACATATTTGTATTGTTATGTAAAATGTTATAAATAAGTTATAAGTTATGCATACTTTTTCTTAATAATTCATTTGCAATCATATCTATAAATTTTGTTTAAAATTAGTTTTAATTCTAAAATAAATTTAAAGCACAACCAAAATGTTGTAGTTTTGTAAAATTAAAAACTAATGAAAAGTAAAATATTTTATTATATAGTAACATTTTTAGTTCAAGATAACATTTAATATCATTGACAATATATAAGAAGAAGAATATTAACAAATTTATGTTATTTATTACAAAATCTTGTCTAAGTATGGTTTGGAGTTGGATGATTAAGAGTATTTATGGGTACTTTAGTTTAATTATTCACCTATTTATTGTTAAATGATGCAACAGCTTCCTATATGTAATAATAATTTATAATGTTGAAAATGTATTTATTTTATCAAAAATAGGACATTTTTGTGTTGTAACATACACAGCGTCAATATACAGAGTGTCCAAACTTAGCTGGCAACGATTATAACTTTTAATCCAATTATCATTTCTTTGAAATTAAAAAAATAATAATTATTGACTTTTATTATACANCTTTGTGTTGTAACATATACAGCGTCAATATATAGAGTGTCTCAGACCTAGCTGGCAACGATTATAACTTTTAATCCAATTATCATTTCTTTGAAATTAAAAAAATAATAATTATTGACTTTTATTATACATCATTAATAATAAAAAATGATGATTTAACGTAGTCTAAGAAGGCAATAATTATTTAAAAAATTATTAACGAAATGAGGATTGGACGAAAAGCTGTAGTCGTTGTAAATCAAGTCTGTAACACTCTTAATATGCAATAAATATAGGGAAAACACTAAACATAATATTACCTAAGAATCTTATAGTTATTCTATTGCTTCTAATTGTATGAAAGTACAGCAGACACAATTTATTGAAAAATTAATAGATGAAAACATGTTATTAAAATTAATAACACTTATTCTGTTTATTCAAAAAGTAAACAGGTTTATATTTTGCATGACATTTTTACTACATACAGTAGTAGTGTAGTAAAATGATACATCATAATTACGTTGAGAATTTTACTGTCATAGTATATAATAATAAAATATATGTATGTGTACGTGTGCCTGTTTTCAAGGATTTAAAATTCATGTTAATTTTAGCTATTCAAATCAACATTTGATGATTAATTCAATAAAAGTACAATAAATTGAAAATTTTAACTAAAATATTGATAGATAACTCAATTCGCCTCATGTTAATTTTTCTACTCTTATCATATATGCTTATTGTGCTCATTGTACAGATTGTATATTTCTAATAATAATAAAAAAAGAACTATTCACCTAAGATGTTTCCTAAAATTCAAACATTTGTTTTTGATGGTTTTTGAACATTGTTGAACATTTGAACATTTGAACATTGTTCAAGCTCAATGTTTTTATACAATATTACTTTTATAAATTGAACTATCTTAAATTTTCATTGACTATTTAAAATTATTTGATAATAAAAATTATACGAATAGACAGTTATGATCATTTCTAAATGAGAGAAGGAAATCGAGTATAAATAGAGTTTTGGTCTATACACTTCAATTGTAGCATAAAAACTTGTAAACCTGAATTTTTTTTGTCAATAAAAGAATGCTACCCGAAACCCTTTTTAAGATAATTATAATAAATATCGATATGTGATCTCAGATAAAAGTAATTATTACTTATTGTAGACTATACGGTTTTAATTATTTTAAGAACATGAAGTTTTAAATTTACATTGTAACAAAATATAACTTATTCAATGTAAAAAATTAAAAATACTACATTTTATTTTATATACATTTTTAATTGAACCATTGTTTTGTAATATTGTTTTTTAAAAATTCCTTAATCGATATCTTATTGAAGCCATTAATGTTGATGCTTATCAGTAGCATGATTAGGGCTTTGTCTTGGGGAGGAATATAAATAAGAAAAGTTTTCACTTCCATCTCTAGATGAAAAAAAATATATTTTCTTTGTATAATTATTTTTATCATGGGTGTCATATTCACCCCAAGATTAAGACAGTGAGACTTATACTAGAAAATAAAATAGTACAATTGAATTACTTTGATATTTTTGAACAATTTATCGTACATTGAGATACTTTGAATCTGTATTTTTAACTTCCGCCATACAACAAATCATATTTTATTTTTTGTTGATTGTAATCACAGAGAAGTTATTGAATAGTTCAAATATTAAAACAGATCATACAGCAAAACGAAAAGAAAAACAATAACCATTAAACATAAAAATATATAAAATACATTGAAAGGAAAAATATAGAATTTTTTTTGACTTAAAAAGTTGACGAGATTTAACAAAATATACTTACAGTACATCTAAACTATATAAAGTCCGTATTATTTATAACGTATTTCTGAGTAAGTAATGTAAAATAATTCAATTTTTCATTTTCGCAATATTGAGTTGAGACATCTATTATTCCAGTTTTTTATTTCTATATAGTGTTGATCAACTTTAGCTCCTACAATATTTAATTTTACAATTGTTAACAGATTCTTTGTAAGATTCTAAGTTTTGTAAGCATTTGGTGAAAAAGCATTGATCATTTTGGGTTAATGCCAAGGACCGTGTTCTCCTAGTGTGTTTAAATTTCGCCGTGGTGACATTAAAACACATAAGACTTTGTATGCCAACAACATATGTTGGAAATTTGCCTAGTGGTCTTTTCCGGTGTTCTAATCAATAAAGATTCATAATTTATTGATTAAAATGTTGCTAACGCAATGACTTAACTGTTATGTAGCTTTTCAAATGATAGTATTGCATATATTGTTATCAAGGATTTTATCTGAAATGATTTATTTTTATTTTACATTATTCGAAACACATAGCGAAGGCTATTATTCACTTTTTAACTCAAGAAAATAATTAACTTCTTTTGTACTTTTTTAAAATTTATTTCTCTTCTTAGTTCGTGGACTATTTATACTCTCAACTTGAACCTTAATGTCGTTACGTTTTTTTTCCATAACGTTATATCATTTTATTAATCGGAAAAGCGGATATCCTGTTTCCCTAACAGATAAACCGTTAAGGATTTTTTGTGTAATGCGTGTTAATTTGTTTTTCACTGAAAACATTGATAGATACTTTTAATTCATTTTTGTAACTCCTCTCTGTTATTTTTATCATTCTTTGGTATACTTTGTTCAATTAAAAGAATACGTATTATTTATTTTAATAAATTTCGCAGAATAAATAAACTTAAAAAGTATTAACTAGAATAGGTATGCATTGAGATAATTTGATTATCTACTTTATTTTCGAGTTAAAAACATTATCAAACAAAATATTGATTTTGCTTGATTAAAATAAACGTATAATTTTTTTGTTAATCTAGCAAAACTGTCATTTGCTTAATATACGCATATTAATTGAACTAAATGATTGACTTTAAGTTTAAAATAATCGACTAAAATAATTATCTTTTCCTCAGATTCACGTCATTGCCGCCAAGTCCGATTAACATGCTGTCATTGCTGATCGACTCAAAAGTGCGGCTGCCCCGGTGGCCCGTGTCAGCCACCAGCTTAGAGTCCAAACGGGACCTGCAAAGGGAGCAGGGTGAACGAGATTTCTTTTTGACCGTCGTCCGAGACATCGCCACCGATTTGGATCTCAAGTCGTTATCCCACAAAATTGTCGATAACCTGACCGTGTTGATGGACAGCGACGCTGCGTCGCTGTTCCTCGTCGACGGGCCACCCAGGGGAGGCCGCCGACGGTGTTTGGTATCAAAAGTGTTTGACGTCCACAGTGGTGCCCGGGGACAATTTCTATTGCCCGACGGTATGACCGGAGACAATGTTCGAACGGCAGCCGGTGATAATGAGGTACAGATACCTTGGGGCGTCGGCATACTGGGACACGTCGCATCCACCGGCGAGACAGTCAACTTGGACGTGGCTTGCGAGGTAATTTGCATAGATTCTCTGAAAATAGTCTCATACAGATATGAAAACATCCAATAGTGTATTGAATTTATAAGAGTTTTTAAATTAAAGGGATAAAAGAAAGTGTTATTTTTTATCTTGAGTATATATTTTTTCGGGTACTTGAACTTTGAATGAACGACAAGACATTCTATTCAATATTGTGAAAGTTTCAGTTTTTTTTTTTGTGGAACTATAAACTTAATACGACGGAGAATGCAACACATTCAGATTATACTTATTGAAATATCAGTCGGTTTCATATTTCTGTGAGCACATTTTTATTATACTGGTGCTTAAAGGTTATGGAGCTGACGTTTTAAGTTTTTTTTATTAAAAAACTGGTCGGTGAAATACATACTGGATAAAAACTTAAATAGAAATTTAGGTATAAAAATATTTGTGCTTTATAAGAAAATTTGAATTTTATTAAGGTTGTTTATCCCGTACAATGTCATACTATGGCGAGAACATTTATCCGTCTTTTTCTGTACTAAATATAAGTAATTTTGCATAAACGGGAGAATTTATCGTATAATTTTACAAAGCAACACTCATACCGTTTGTTTTTAAACATTAATCTAATTTTTACTTGCTATATCAAATATCACGCTTAGGGTAACAGTGTTTAATGAAATTAACGTTTAATTCAATGTATCATTTGCTCAATTATGATTTCTTCAAAAATATATTTAAAATACGTAGAACATGAAATTAATTAATTCTGGATAAATTTAAAAAAGTTGTTTTGATTTTTAGAATAAAACATCAGATATGAATCATATAAATTAATAAAAAAAAATAATAATATTCTTACAAAATATTGTAAAATTGTTTAGAAAAATAGATTTATTACATGAAAAAATCACAGAATAATATAAGTTGGTATGTCACAACTAAAACATCTTGGAAACTATTAACTATGTTTTATGAGTATTTTCATGATGTTTTACATCAAGCATTTTACAGACAATTTTTTGATAGGTAACTGAAACTTTATAAAATAAAAAAGAAATGCATATTTCATTTTTTATCAAAAACATATGATATTTTTATTAATCCAAGTTACTTTTTACGTTTTTTTTTTTTAGAAACACAAAGTTTTATATTACTTCCAGTTGTTTCTTTTTTGAACTATTAATTATATGCAATAGTTTTCTATTTCCTTTTAATATCGTGTTTGTCAACGTAATTCTGTTACGTTTAGTTCGAAAATGTCGACTTTACCTCAACGTGATTATGTTTTTATTTATTATTTTTAATATATTTTCCCTTTGAACTTTAAAAGCTGTTTCTTTAAATCTTTCATGTGCCATTTGACAATAAACACAATATTTCAAAAATTCAATGTCTCGACAAATAGCTGAGAATATCGAAAATAAAATACAAATACATACATACAAGAGAGTAATAAGTTTCTACTTTGTGGTTACAGATGTGTATCAGATACAACATGAGCAAATTTCGTTTGGATACACAATCGAAATAAAATCGAGTGATAGTAATCTAATTTAGGACGATCCAATTTTTTTCAAATAAGACTGGAATATTTTTATTGAAACGTATATATCTATGACATTGACCGACGTTAACACTGCTCAGTTAATTGAAAAGTGAGCCACGGTCGTGTATTTGTACAAACCAAAATAATACATAATAGGTGAAACTTTGTTGTTAATTTTTACAAAACTCGTTAAATTTCACTCCGCGAATCACGCAATTCTGAATGTTTTACGGTTTAAAATTTTTCTTATGTTTTTTACGCCTCGTAAAAACTCTTCATAAGATACCTACTACATAATAAACTTATACGGTGTTCAAGAAATTGAGGTCATTGGAAAACGCATAACATTCTACAAAAGATGCCCGACGCGGTTATGGATGTTTTCTTTGTATCTCCCAGGGGTAGCTGCTGTATTTCTGCCAGAGGCCGTACAATCGACATTTTATTGATATGTTGTTTGTGTGCGACTCGGCTACAAAATAAAAACTGGGTCATTCGGCGTCATTTCGCCACTACAATAAAGGAATAATTTTTAGATTTGAGTTAATAAAATTTGGTATGTACATGCATGTACATTTCCTCTAACTGTTAATTCGCAGTCGGAGATGTACTAACTAGTGAAGGCGGATAAAAGAAAAGAAAATTACGTCAAAGCAAACTACTGTTTGTCGAGAAGCGGAGTTGATTTCTTGTTGATATTATGCCTCGTAGGTGCGGATATTTTTATACAAAAATAGGATTATGTGCTCATATTTTACTTTTATAACGTTAAAGGAAAAATTCGGAAGAGTCCTCGGTATACATAACACATAAACCCTATGCAAAAAAGCTCTAGTGAATTATTTTCAACCTATCATAAACAAAAAAAAAAAAGAGTCGTTTAGATTACAACTCTGAACCTATTTGCTAACAAATAAATAATTTCCGTCGTTAAACTTATGTATCATTTATATTTCATTTATTGTTATTATCCTTTATTTGTTTTGAATACATTTTTCGTAAGTGTAATCCAGTTACTTGTATAATTATAAAAACTTAGTTATTTACATAAAATACTCGTTTAGACGTAAAATTAAATAAACGAATTATCTAAGAGACGAAATTTGCCGATGTCAATCTTATACGACAAATACGCTAACAATAAACACCTGTAAAGGGCATTGCCATTGTAACGTCAATTTCTGTGTTCTCAGTTCAGTTTTATTGCGTGTCGTTTATTAAATTGAAACAGGAGAAAATTATTCACTAACGTTATATCAAACAGATAGAATGCATAAAACCTGTAAGACAAAAGCTCTAATTAGCATTTGTCTTATATTCAGAAACTTGGGTTTGAAATCCAACAAAATGTCGTTGAACTCAGTGTAAGCAATTAGCGTATCAAGTTTCGTGCTATTTTAAAATTCTTTGAAATTTATTACTTAAGAAAAACTTTATTATTTATTTATTAAAAAAAACTAACGAAACGAAAAACATAAGATGAAACATTTTGAAATAGTAAATACTTTATAGTACGTTGTTTTATGAATTATATATTTTCGTAGCATACATAAAATTCATTAAGATATTTTGTATTTTTCAAAATTATATTTATAAAATATTCAATATCAATGTTAAAATACATGTAAAAATGTACAATATTTTTTCAAATTTTCTGCTGTTCGATAGATTATTTTATTTAATTAATAAAAACTTTATTCATAAACATTGAATTTTTAAATTTTGTAAATAATTTCCAATAATATTTATTTTTAAGTATTACTTTTATATGAAAATATACTTTTATTTTTATATTAAGCTGAGTTTTGTAATTTTATAATTCGTATAATTATTAAAAAGATCATTGAAACAGACTGGACTGCAACAATATATAATTTTAGCGCCCATATAAATGTTTTATATTTATAAATTTAACCGATTTTGTAGTCCCCAGAGAATACAAGTATAAAATTGTTTAAATTTTGTTGATTATCTTGACAATTAGCCATAAAGTTGGGTGGTAATCTTTCCATAATTTGAATTTACTAGTATAAAAATGTATTTTTATGTATGGTTGGTTATATTTAAATATTGGGTTACATTATTTTATACACATTTTAGAATACTACTAATAATTATCAACAAGCACTAATACAATATATAGCAAGTGGTGTTTTCCAATATTATTAAATACTTAAATTCATGATTTTGACATTTTTTAAAATTTTTTTCACATTTTTATCAACTTTAAGATATTTACATATTTACAAAAAAAAAAAAAAGGTTTGCATTTTTAGTGATTTGGTCGCTCTCTAGTAAACAAATATTGATGTAACTTTCAAAACTTGTAGTTTGTAAAAATACAAAAATTATACGCACATTAAGTGAAATTTAATGTAATGATTGATTTTTTTCCAAAAATGATAATATTTTGATTAAATTGAAGTTTAATGATTAAAATCAAAAAACTATTAAACTAAAAAATTATGTTTATAAGATAAGAAGAAAATCCTTTTATCTTAATAGGTTAACCTATCCATAAGTTAGTTAGATAACGGACAAATATATCAGAAATTAATAATTATTTTTAGCTTCGATGCGAAGCTGAAAAGGTATTAATTTTACTATGATGTGTTTGTTTTTGTGTGTCTGTATACGCTCAATCTCAGCTCTCGTTAAACCGATTTAGATGAAAAATATCTCATTTTCCTTATTTTTAACATATTAATAATCAAAACAGTATTAATCTAAAACAATTTTTTTTTGTTTATAATTATTTTTTTTTTAAAAGCAAATACTATTTTTTAATAATATAAAAAATTAGAACTGATAGAAAAAGTCTAATTGCAGATTTGAAAACAACGCGAAAAGTTGATTTAGAAAAGTATATTTTTGCTTTTGATGAAAGTTCCTTGCAGTCTAGTGCATTTATTTATAGTAATAAACAGTTTTTATTGAAAATTATTGTATCAAGCCCTTTAAATTTTTACACGTAAAAGTAAATCAAAATATAACTGCTTTATTATTTTTATAATTTCTCCGTTTAAATTACAATATTAAATTATTGAATATCAATTTCATACTAAATTTTTTCAACAATAATTAGTTATTCATATATTATATTTTAAAATCAAAGAACTACTAATCAGGATATGATAAAATAAATAAGGGTTGATGTTGCTTTTGGAATAATCCACCAATTTCTCTAAATGAAACACTATCAACAGATTTGCATCGAAGCCTTTCTTATGATAGTGATTTTAATCACTGTCAGATATCATCTATACTTGTCCCATCTATGTCTCGTCTATACTGTGCCTCCACCCCACTGTGTTACCGTTCTTTTTATTATAAACTTTCACAAATATCAACTTTAAAGTATTAACAAAATAGGTTAAATATGTCATTTTTCATATTTTTAACATATTAATAATTAAAATCAGTATTAATTTAAAACAATTTTTTTTTATGTCAATACTTATTTTTTAATAATAAGTTTTACTATCAAAACTTAGAAGTGATAGAAAAATCTAATTGGAGATTTAAAAACAGCGCGAAAAGTTGCAAAAGAAAAGTATATTTTTGTTTATTATAATTTCTTTGCAGAATAATGGTAATTAGTATAAATCAATAGTACTTAGTATTAAGGATGTAATAAATTAGTAGTAATATGTATTTAGGGAGCAGAATAATAATAATTGGTAATTAAGGGAGAGAAAATAGGAATAATTAGTAATTTAGGATGTGATATGTAGTAATTAAGGGAGAACAATAAAGAGCAGTTAGGAGGAAATAATAATTAAGGGGGTATAATAAAGAGTAGCTAGGGGGAAATAATAATTAAGGGAGAACAATAAAGAGCAGTTAGGAGGAAATAATAATTAAGGGGGTATCATAAAGAGTAGCTAGGGGACATAATAATTAAGGGGGTATAATAAAGAGTAGTTAGGGGGAATATAATAATTAAGGGGGTATAATAAAGAGTAGTTAGGAGTAATTGGTATTTAAGGGGGTATTTTTATTAATTTGTAGTTTTAATTAAAAAAAATATATAGTGTTATATAACTATTTTTTTTTGTGTCTATAAACGCTCAATCTGAGCTCTCACTGGATCGATTTTGATGAACATAATATCAAAAGTTCACAAATCGTATCTAGTAAGACATGACCCTCAAAAATTGAAAATGTTTTTCCCGTATTTTGTAAATGTGGGAAATCCTCCAAAAAAATTACAAAAGTAAAAATCGCTAATTTTCGACATTTTTTCAATTTTTTTTTTACTTAAAACTGCAATAACTTTTCTAAAAATGACCGAATAAATATAACTCTTTTTTTTATAGATACCTTAGATATTTACCTTTTATGTTATATATTTTTATGAACATTTGTCCCTTTAACGGCTCACAGGAAGGGTTTCAAAATGGTGACTTTTTTACAAAAAATTAATTTTTACAACTTAACTTTTGAAAATCTTCCGGAAAGTCTGATACATTTATATATATCCTAAATTAAAGCTTATGTATTTACTTATTATTCTGTTTCAAATATTTCCATTATAAGTAAAAATTAATTGATATAAGTACAAAAATTGTACAAAAAAATACTACATTATTAATTATTCAAAACACAATTTAAGTAAATATCAGTTGTATTGCATACAAATACAGCAATTTTTACGATATCGCATTACACCATAAGTTAACATTGAAACAATTTGACGCCAAATTAAAAAACACTTTTTAAATTTACTTAGATAGTTAAATTAATTAAATTTAAATTTTTAATTTATCATCGAATTTTAAATTAAACTTGATCTATAATTCTAAAATTTGTAATTGTTTTTACATTATATAACTACTCTAAAAATTCATGTTAAGCATAAAATTCACTAAAATATATTTATAACAAAACTTAATGTCATTCCAGGACCCGAGATTCGACGATGAAGTTGATCGTATAATGGGATACTATACATCTTCCTTGCTCTGTATGCCAGTAAAAAATTCGTACGAGGAAATTATAGCCGTGGCTCAAGTTAACAATAAGAATCCAGACAAAGATAATGGGCGATACACTAGTATGGACGAGAAGGTAAATATTTGAACAGCTTTTAAGTATTAAAAGGATATTATATAAACTTTGCACATCATAAAATATCTAATACAATGATCACTATTCAAAACTGGTTACTTTGGAGAACAATGGTTTCTAAATCAATTAAAATTTTTTATTTCTTTAGAGATATAAATCAGTTATAAAAATATAAATTATCTTAGAAATATATTAATATATTCGTAAAGTTATTTATATTTTTATACCAATTAAGTTGTTTTGATGTTGATTACAAAATTAAGATAGCTTTAATACAATTAAAATTTTTATGATTTATTTTTTTTTATTATGTATAGCTTCTAGAAACATATTTGCAATTCGTGGGAATAGCAATTACAAATGCACAAATTATTGAAGATTCTCGGGCAGAATATGACCGAAATAGAGTAAATATTTTTAAATAAAATAGATCTGCATAAAATATATAATAATTAATCTACCAAGTCAAACATTAATTGATTGTAAATTATTAACTGATTTTATCAAATTTTATGATTCAGAATTTACTGGAAGTGGTTCACGATTTATTTGAAGAACAGACTTCAATAGATAAAGTAATAATGAAAATTATGCAAAGAGCTCAGAGATTATTGAAGTGTGAAAGAGCTGCAGTATTGTTAGTGGATGAATCATGTGACAACACGATGTTCTCTAAGTTGTTCGACTTAAATTCGCCAAAACATAGACAGAACCATGTCAAAAAGTAAGTGTTTCTATATCATAAAATATAATTGTTAAATATTATTTTTAATATTTCTTTATAGCTGTAGACAGAAAGTAGAAGGAGAAAATGTTTCGCGTTATTTAGAAAGCTTAGCAGAAAGGGTGGCATGTTCGGGGGAAGTTCTCAATGTCAGCGATAATGATTGTAAAGAAGGGCTAATGGATTCCGGAATCAATTCACTTTTGGCGATGCCCATAAGGAATAAAAATGATCAAATTATAGGTATGTAATACAATTTTATTTTTAAAACTTATTGCTGCATTGAATATAAATTTATATTAAACAGAATTTCAGTGATAAATAAATGCATTAGTTAACTATTTAAATACTTACATTAATTACGATGGAAAGCGTTTTATAATTATGAAAAGAAGAATATATCGAAATAAAATATGTGAATACATATATTAACCAAGTAAAATACTTTCAACCTTTAAAATACTCAAATGTGTGTTCTATAAAAATTTAGCTACATATTTTATTTATGTTTTGCCTAAAAAATAAGATAAAATGAAATTAACTGACATAACGTTTTAGTTTTAATAGAATCATATTTAATTCTATAAGTATTTTTGAGTAAATGAGTAAACTTGGAACTTCTGAATATAAATAATATTTTGAGTCATAGTTCTTGACTGATTACAGTCTCTTAATTGAAGCTTTCTGTCTATATTTGTTTTTTCAATGAAATGTTTAAAGATATTTGTAATAATAGAGACTTGAACAGAATTTCAACAAAACCTATTGGTCGTTTTTGAATTACTCTTCTAGAACCTCACTCGCAAACTTAGCGTAATGTATTGTTTTGTAATGGGGTAGATATTTATACTGTTTTTTACATCGATTGTATAATATACATTTCTAAAATTTCGAATGGCTGTTTTAACAAAACACTCGATTTATAGGTGTCGCAAGTATCATAAACAAGCTGAATTCTCTTCCTTTTGACGAATACGACGAACAGTTATTTGAGGTTAGTAACCTTAACTCATAAGTTTATATTTTGTATTAATAATGGGTTCATGGCATAGGCATTCACGATCTTTTGCGGACTAGGAATACACAACACGCTTATGTATAGCGAAGTAGAAAAGGCAATGGCCAGACAAAAAGTCTCTATAGAAGTAAGGAAACTTGCGTGGGCCGCTCGTTACATAACGGAAAATAATTTTTCGTTTTAATTTAGTTTTATTGCTCGTATATTTTCTTGCTTGACAAACGGAAATAAAAGTAATTTATGATCAATTTTATTTTTCAGGTTTTGTCTTATCACGCGACTGCTTCTAATAAAGAAGTGGAACGTATCTTGGTAAGTTTTTACTTACGGATATAAAAAAATTTCTAAGAATTTACTAATTTATTCACGTTATAATTCCAAAAAAAGATTTACTGAAAATTAAAACTGTTAATCAGTTATAATGTTTTGAAAAAAAATTCTCCATGTGCAATAACCATTCATATTTATGAACATTTTCATTTATTGTTTTAAACTCTTTTAATTTACTATTAATAAAAGCTCCGATTGTTTTAGTCAATAGTTTTGCATTAATCAAAAACTATTTTTTTTGTTATCTCCCGTATCCGCCAAAGTACAAATGCTATCGCACAAGTATACCGATAATGGAAAAAGTTAGCTTGTTTTGCAACTGAACATAACACTTATGCTATTGGACTCGTGGAGAGTTTGATGACAGTTTTAATGTTTTTCGGCAAACTATCTTTCAATTCCGCATGTGTAACTATATTATTATTCTGATCTAGTTTAAGCGAAAATCGTGTATAAACGGCTAACAATGAGGTTGGTAAGGGACAAGAAGAAAAAAATGAGTAAAAAATAAATGAGTTGAAAATACGAAGATGTAATTGGCGCAATTATATTATAGAAAGGCCAAAATAATAATAGGATTCAATCTTCGTGTCGAGTATTTATTTATCCTCAGTATTTTCATCAATGTTATTTATGTTGCTTAGAGTTTGCCTGTACCAGCAGCCGACTCGATGAATTTATACTCTCTTGCTTTTGATGATTTCTCGCTAAACGACGATGAGATGCTTATGGCAGCAGTTAGCATGTTCCTCGAACTAGGACTGGTCAAGGCTTTTAATATTGAAAAAGAAGTAAGTGCAATAAGACTTAATGTTTTAAAATTTAAATAACAGCACTATGATTTCTTTACTGGTTATTACGTTTAAAATTCAAAACGTTACCTAAAGAAAAAAGATACAATGTAGCATTTAATGTTAAAGCATTTTCAAGAAACGTCAAAATAACTTAACGGCACAAACAATATGCACAATATATTGTTTGGGTTTTATTAAGTTATAAAATAAAAAAAAATTAAAACGAAGTGAATACAAATTATAATAAAATCTTAGAAGCTGTCGTAAAATATTAGTGTTTATATTTTTCTTTAACAATAACAACCTTTATTTCGCATATAACGAAAAAAAAACAATACCCAAACTGAATGTAATTTATGAACTGTTATTACATTAACATTTATATAAGTCATGATCTCGGTCCTTTACGTGTATGCCAGTAAAACACTTTAATATTCAAGTTTTTCAAAATNTATTATACATTATTATTATACATTAACATTTATATAAGTCATGATCTCGGTCCTTTACGTGTATGCCAGTAAAACACTTTAATATTCAAGTTTTTCAAAATCATGCGTAAATTGCTTTAAAAAATGTTTGAAATAGCTTCAATTAGAATTGAATTTCTTTATAATCATTATTATAACCATTGATTATAAATACTACTTTTTAATATGTTGTAACATATTTTGTTAGTAAATTTCAAGTTTACTATGGTAGAAATCGTATACTATTGCAAGCATTACGTTTTAGTTATTAAAACATTTTATAATTTTTTTCATCGTGTAATGATACTCGAATGTGAAGATAATAAGTTGTTCCAAAAAAAAAAATATAAATAAAAATCCTATAGAAGAACATTTACTTACAAACATATTTTAACAGACATATAATAACAACATACAATTTTTTTTTTTAATTAAACTTAAAATTAATGCGATGAATTTTCGTTTATTTTAGACTTTGTATAGATTTCTTATCACAGTTAAAAGAAATTACAGAGACGTGCCATATCACAATTGGCGGCATGCTTTTAATGTTGCACAAGTTATGTTTGCTATTATGATGGTAAGTGTATCATTAGTATAATACAAATTGACTTACGTTATATTTTATTTTAAACATTTTTAGGGCTGTGACATGAAAAATACATTTACTGATCTCGAAGTATTAGGTATGTTCGTTGGTTGTCTATGCCACGATCTAGATCATCGAGGAACAAATAATTCATTCCAAGAAAAGTATGTATTTAACAAATTACTTTTATGCAATTACTATAAAGATTTATATAGACAGTGTCTCAGACCTAGCTTACAACGCTTATAACTTTTGATGAAATTTTCATTTTACTGTTTTTTTTTATTTAATAATTATTGTCTTCTAAGACTATATTTATAGCATATTTTTATTATTTATTAGCGGCAGCATTAGAAAAAATGTGTTAATATCTTTTAAATTTTGAAATTGGTTAAATAAACATTTCTAGAGCACGTTCGGCGTTAGTTCTTTTGTATGGTACAACTAATACGATGGAACACCATCATTTCAACCACGCAGTGATGATTTTAAGTAGTGAGGTAAGATTTTTAGCTTATATATTTTTTTAAGAGATATCTATTTTAATAAAATATCTTCATTTGACAGAGTCTTAACATATTCTCTAGTCTATCGGCGGAAAGTTTTACAACCGTCATGAAGGTCCTTAAGCATAGCATTTTGGCAACAGATCTTTGCATGTATTTCCAGTAAGTCTAATTAACTACTAATGAATTGGAGCGATTATCATATAATTTTATAACAAATAGGACTGAACATTTTTAATAAACTTTTTTATTATATTTCCGGAAGAAATAAGATGAGCAAATCTTTTCAATTTTAATTTTCATAAAATATTTGGTTTTTCAAAGAAATTTTTAATATCCAAAAACAACATAAATTATAAAGAAATACAAAAGAGAAATGTTCTAGTATTTATTGGTACCTAAATATCGGTATATGTTTTACAATTGATTTCAAAAATACTTTATTTTATAAATCTAAGTAATTTTACGTATCTATCTATTAAATAATAAATAACAAATAAATAAAATAAAATTTTTATAAAAATAACGTCCATTGTGTGATAAATTAATCGAGAAAGAATAAATATATCATTAGTTTAATAAAAAAACGTTTTATACGATTTTAAAAAGTTTGAAATTGTCAAATATGTATGTAATGTTGAAATGAAATTAAAATTACAATAACATTAGTTAATTTTTCATGCTTTGTATATTTTTTTATACAGATTTGATTTTCTATAACTTTGTTTGTGTTTGACAACGCAACTTATTGTAATTTTTACATATTAATAATGAAACAATTCACCATGATTAATATATTTAAAAGTATTTCGTATTTCAATATTATAAAATATATTTATAATAAACTATTAGCATATAAATAATTAAAACCTTTTCAAATAGGTTAAGAAATAAATTTTTCCGGTTGATCGAATCAAAAGAATATAGCTGGGATGAAGATTCACAGCGTTTTTTATTGATGGCAATGTTAATGACATCATCAGATTTAGCTGCGTCAACAAAACAATGGCACGTTCAACAAAGGGCAGCCAGATTAGTAACAGACGAATTTATAGAACAGGGCGATAAAGAAAGGTTTGAATTAAAAATTCAACCACAAGCGCTCATGGATAGGGAGAGACAACACGAGCTTCCTCAATTACAGATAAGATGGATAGCTGATATATGCTTACCATTATATCAAGTAAATAACATTTACTAATAATAGCTTTGATGCGAAGCTGAGAAGGTATGATGTGTTTTTTTTTTGTGTCTGTTGCCACTTTTTCTGAGTTCTCATTGACCGATTTTTTCATTTATACGTTAAAAGATCAAAAAACGTATCTAGTTGAAGATAATACCTTAAAAATTGAAAAAAATTCCCTCTTTACCCTGCAAGTGGAAAATCTCAAAAAAAAAAAAAATAACAATTTTTATAATCGGTAAATTTTGACATTTAAAAATTTTTTTTTTATAACTGCCACAAATATTTTCAAAATTAACAAATAAATATAATTTTTTTTACATAGAAACTTTAGGTATTTCTATTTACTTCTACCCTGTCCCTATGGGTCGAATTCAAAACAGCAAATTTTTGACAAAAGTCAATTTTTTCAACTTAACTTTTGAAAATGTATGGTACTACTTTTTACTCATATTTTCAAAAATTTAAACCCCCTGTATAAAGAAAAATGGTCCAATTAAAAAAAAAATTTGTTAAATAAAAGGAAGTAAACACAAAGTTTATATATCTATATAAAAAAAAAATTTGATAATGATGATCCATATATTTTTCAAAAAGTTATAGTAATTTAAAGCTGAAAAAATAAAATATGAATTCGTAAATTTTAATACCAAAATTACATATTTTTTAACTAGGACAAACATTTGCATATAGAAGATAAGTCGTCGGGACAAATTTTTTTTTTCATTTTACAGTACATAAAATAAGCTTTAATTTGGTATATGTTTAAAGGACGCAGTATTTACGGAACATTTTCAAAACTTATGTTGAAAAAGTTAAATTTTTGTGCAGAAGTTGCTATTTTTAAATCCCACCTGTGGGCAGGTAAATGGTCATATTTAAAAAAAAATTATATCATATAAAAGAGAAAAATCTAAGGTTTCAGTATAAAAAAATAATTATTTTGATTTGTTTATTTTTCAATAAGATATGGGACTTTTTAGGAAAAAAAATGTCGAAATTTACCGATTTTTTGGGGGATTTCCACTATTTACAGGGAACAAGGGCAAAATTTTTAATTTTTAAGGATAATGTCTTCAACTAGATACGATTTGTGATCTTTTGACGTATTGTTAAGAAAAATCGGTCCAATGAGAGCTGAGAAAAAGTAATGACAGACACAAAAAAAAAATATAAACACATCATGATATAATTATTATCTTCTTAGCTTCGCATTAAAGCTAAAATACGATTTTTGTAAAAAAATTCTATTTTATATTTTTAACTTTATAATGTTATAACTTTTTGAAAAATGTATGGAGCGATACAATTTTGTTACTAATAGATATATTAAGTATTTACCTATTATTTGGTATATATATCTTTTTAATCTGACCCTTTACCTGCTCACAGCGAGAAATTTAAAAAGACAACTTTTTTTCAAAAATTTAATTTTTCAGCAAAACATTTGAAAGTGTTTCGGAAATACTAGCACTTTTGTATATATTTTAAATTAAAGCTTATTAAGTGTACTTTAGTATTGGAAAAAAATTTTTCGAACTTTAATTTGCCTTCATGGTCAAAATGGCTACCGTATTTAAAAATATGTTATTTTTGTGTTAAAATTCTTGATTTTGTATTTTATTTTAAAATACCTTACAAAAGTTTTTGAGTTAGAAAAATTTTTTTAACTCATTTATATTAATAACTTCAATGTATATCAAGGATGGATCCCATCACTGTTGTCTCCCCTTGTTTGAAGAAATTTCTTATTTATTAATTATTTTACAAAATCTGTAATAATTAAAAACAATTTTTTTTTGTTTTTAATTATTTCTTTATTGTAATGGAGCATTTAAAAAGAAATATTAATCATGTCTATGTAATTCTTGGTGTTTAAATAGATGATGCAATTGAAATATTCAGAATTATTTTCCTTATAGTTATATCCTATAGTTTTTAATTAATTAGTAATAATATCAAAAATTATTGGTGATAGAAAAATATAATTGCTGATTTGAAATTAGCACGAAAAATTGAATTATAAAAGTATATTTTTAACTTTGATGAAAATTTTTTGCAGACCATTTATTTATAATTAATAACAAATTATTATCTAAAAAGTTTTTCATCAAGCCCTTTAATGTTTATACACATTTGCCATAAAAGTAAAAACTTCTTTATAATTTTTTATAAATTCTATGAAAAAATTACGATACTAAATTATTAAATATCTCATACTAATTTAATTGCTATAATAAATATTTATTCATATATTATATTTATAAATTAAAAAACTCTTATCAGGAATAAATAAGGAAATAGGAATTCATTTTGTTTTTGGTATAATCCACCAATTTTTTAAAATTAAACACAATCTACAGATTTGCAATGAAGCGTTTTATATGATAGCGATTTTAATCACTGTCAGATTGATGCGGTCGCATTGCATTTCGGCTTTACCGCTGGATGGCGACTCCGACATAGCTGCCTTTTTTGTCCGACATGTCGGGCGACACCGAGTGACCGCGGGTGACACGAACCTGTCCGGCACAGGTAAAAGACGATTAACACTTTTGACTTAAAGAAACTTAGCGTGAACTTGTTTTTTAAGTACTTCCTTGTTATTATTTATTTATCCTAAAACACACCTGAACTCCATCAAGATAACATGTATACTTGTCTCAACTATGTCACGTCCACATTATGTTGCGACCCCACTGTACTATCGATTTACAATTAAATACTAACATTTTTAGGATCCTACATATTAAACGAAGTTTATGTGGGGAATATTAAGATAGTATTCCCTTCCCAATTAGTTCAAACTTCGTTAATAATGTGAATTAAAACTTAATAATTTTTTTACTTAAAAATAAAGTAGTTAAAATAGCAACTAACTATTAACAACATTTTGATATAGAATTTTCACCTGATTTTACTATAGAGTTATGTTTGCTGTACACGAATTAAATTATGACTACAGTTTTGAATTTTTTTAATCTAATTTCACATCTTAAGAACTGAAAATAAAATAAAAAATTGGACAATTTATTATTATTTTAAAATGTTTTTGAAGAAATCTTCAAATCTCTTGAAGTTTTTTTTTTTTTGGTATCTAATACAATTAAAATAAAAAGTAACTGAAATTTAAAAATATTTAAAGTTATATTTTTAATATAGGCGTTGGGTCAAATGAATCCAAAACTTAATGTGATGAAGGAAGGAGCATTAAATAATATGCATCAATGGAGCAAACTAGTTGATTCTAACTACAAATTTACCAACGCAGAGGAAAAAATATGAAGAACAGAAAAAAACTGATTCGAACATCAATGTGTAGCAACCAAGGGATGTGTTATAGTATATTTTATTATGTTTAAAAGTGATCTTTTAATCAGTAGACTGATAGAAAATAGTTTCGTATTTATAAATACAAAAAAAAAAAAATATATATATATATATAGTAAAATAAAAAATCAATAAATATTGATGTTATAATTTTATTTTTATTGTTTTTGTTTATTTAATTCTACTTGTTTAANTAATTTTTTATTAATTAAAGTATTTAAATTTACTGAAAATATAAAATGTTATTTATTAAAAAATTGATAATTTCTGAATTCATAATAAAATTCCATTAAAGTTTATATATTATCAACTCAGTAAATTATGAAATCCGCTTTTTAATTTTATGCATCAGTACTTTTCATCATTGAAGTCCTTTATAAATAATAATACATTTAAGTTCTTTATTTTGAACATAGGGTTAAATTCAGAAAGAACTTAAGAACTTTAAACTCTTCAAAATTTACTATAACTCTCCAGAAATTTATTTAAAAATGTATGTACATATATATAACAACACATACAATTTATTTTAATTTTTAGGGAGGGTATGACTAATTTTGAGAAGTTTATAGACCTCTAGCACCTTTTAATTTTACATCTATTATTTTCATAGTTTTTTACATGTTAGAATCGATTTCATCACGAGAACAGCATTTCTGTTCATTTACTTTTCGTATTATGCAGTATGATTAATTAAGAATACTACCCCTAATTTTTAATTAATGTATTAATTAAAAAATAAAAAATAAAATAAGATTTTAATGTGCATTGTGTTATTAAAATTTCTAACTCTTAATCATTAAATATATTTGGGGTGTTCTAGAGCATGAAAGTTAAATAAAAAATGTTATTTTTCTGTAAAAAAATCACCGTTTTTCGTGTTATTATAATTTTGTATTTCAATTTTTTTTAGTTTTTAAAATAGAATATTTTTCAATTATTTATCATTATATTTTAGGTCAAACGGCATAGTCATAACAAAATCAATAAATAAATAATAAAAAAAATTTATAATAATTATAAATATTTTGCAATTTTTAATGTAAATCCAATAAGTATATTAAAAGGTAGCAGATGCCTTTTCCGAAAAATAGTGTTCTAAATACTAATAGTCACAATTTCAATTACATGACTGAATTAATAATGAACTAACGAAGGTTTGTATAATGGAATAAAAAAGTTAACTTTCTTCTTAAAATATTTTTTGTTGTAATTAAGTATAAATATATTATTTATTACTTATATTAAAATATGATACTACACATCTTTTAAATATCGCAAAATGTAAAACAGAAAAAATCCATAAGGTTTTAATTATTTTGCAAGTGAGCTTTTTGTAACAACTAGCTATGGTAGCAAGAGTCACTGTTCGCGCCAAGTGTGAGAGCTGCACTGGTTGGGTGTGGTCAGCTGTTAGGACGCCTTATCAGCGGCCCGTGTTGTTCGGTCGTTTTTTTTTATTCAAAATGTAATGTATGTACCTGATGTAGTATTATACAGTTTAGTTTAAGTTACGTTGGTTTTCATTTGAATTAATTGTTGTTTTTGTATTAATCAGTAAAAACTTTGCTCAATTTTCGTTTTAAAATATATTGTTCATATTATTATTGTAAATTCATATAGTTGTATTCTGGTTTCTTTTTCATTGGTTAGAACATAATTATAATAAAGCTACAGGTAGCATTTCACTTTTATAAATGGTAGTTCATTTTATTCAGGTTATTCAAGCAAAATGAAGAACTGAATGTAAGTAATATGGGTGTTTATATTTCTTGATTATTTAATTCAGTAATAAAAGATTCGGTTATTCGTATTTGACTAGTTAGTTGCATTTATTAAACTGAACGAGTTTATTTTGTGTTGACAAAAAATATTTTTCTTGTATCAATTTTAAATCGATTAGATACCCTTTTTTTTTATTTTTATTATTAGTTGCCCCTATTCTAAGCCGTACGGCGGAGTTCTATTCCCCATTCTTATTTTGAATCGTTTAGAACAGCCCAGGCGGCAACAGTCACCATCACCTAGGTGAGGTGTCACACCTATCAGATATGATTAACAGACCAAAGATGCAATTAATTTATAATTTTGACGTATAACGTAATAATATTGTTAACATTTTAACTGCCATAACGTAAAAACAAGATAAATAATTTTTATTGAAGTCCTGATAGTGTTATTTATCTATGATAACATCCATGCAACTCAAATTTTAAAGTCTTAAGTCTTAAGTCCCAAATATTTATCAGTACAACTGTAACAAATCGTTTATCTATTTATTACTAAATTCAAGACTAGTTGGTTTTGGGATGCATAGGACGCATAGACTTAAGGAGTCTATCATAAACTAGCTAGTCATGATAAATCACGTACAAAAATAATTTTTTTTTATTTAAATAAGATACATACAATTTGTACCATAAACACATTGAGTATGATTTTTATGTATTTTATTCCACTGAATTTGAATCTGAAGTTTTCTTGTCTTTTTTTTTTTATTTTGACTTACTAAAAATAAGGTTTTAGTATATGATATCATATGATACCATCGCGCAATATTTGAAAAAAAAATATTCATATTATTTAATTTTATCAAACATACTTTATTCTATATTAAAAAATAAAAAATAAAACCTTATTTTTAGTAAGTCAAAATAAAAAAAAAAAATATTTTTTATTTTTACTAATATCATAAGGTAATTAGCAATCTGATTTGCAATTTAAATATTTTATTTTTAAGGAAAAATAATCTCGTGCATGAAGATGTTAAAATTCGAGAAAATCGATCTCTTTATTCTAGTCATTTTTTTTATAAATATTACAATTTTTTATATTTTCATATTCTAAACTGCTATTTTATGCGTGAAAAAATACAAGAAAAGTATTTAATCGTGTTCTATAAATGTAATAATATATTATTACTTATAATATTAAAATATTATACTATGTTATATTTTGTACATGTATGTCACATATTATGAATTCACAAGATCACCAAAACAGGGTTCCCTTATTTAAAACATAAAATAATCAATAAATTAGGCAATTAAATCTGATTATCGTACAGATTTAAAGTAACGCCTATGTGTGGGTTCTCAATTAGGTCCAACCAATCACATTTAACTATTAATTAAGATCTACAGTTTCTAAGATCACACTAGGGATCGCTACACGACCCTCGTCTACTATAAAAACCCATTTTTTCCTATTCAAATCAGTTCTTTCGTCGATTTTAAGATACACAAAATCTACGACACTCTATTCAAAATTTCACTCTCACGGACTTAGTTGATTTTTTAATTTATTTGGACTTAGAATATTTTTTCAATTTTTAAAAACACTTAGTCGTTTTTTTAATTAATTTGAATTTAGAATATTTTTCTTTAAAACTAAATGACATTTAGAGATTTTAAAGTGAATTTTGATTTGGTGAATCTTTTAATTTAATTTAATTTGTTCATTAAATAATAATGTTTTATTTTATCGTGGAAATAAATGTCAATTGATATGTTAAACCTCAAACATTTTTTTTAAAATTATTTTTTATATATTATAAACCCGAACCAACTTTAATTTTCTCTATTAATGGTAAATATTTATTATATGACTAAGTGTGTTGCAACTCTATACTTATTGGGTAGCTAGTCATTTATGGTTTAATGTCTTTGTTCTAACGAACATCGCGCCGGCAGACAAAGTAAAGGTTGCAATTAAAGATTTTTAAAGTTAGGTGTATTAGGTAGAATATATTTGTAAGCCTTTGTGTATTGGGTTTAATTAAGCTAGTCTATTGTGGTTTCCCGTTTGCTGTGCTCTCACTGCGGTGGAATCGGGCTCTACGGGGCTACGAGCTGCTGCAGCGGGCGCAGTTCCCTAGCTCGGGGAATCGGGCGCGTCCTCAGGTTGCGGATAGAGGAACGGCCTGCAGATATGCAGGCTAGCCGCGAAATAAGCAGTCCATTAATTTGGACTGACGAATAAGCGGTCGCGGACAGCGAGCCCCTCGTTCGCTTGTTAACCCTGCAGATATGCAGGGTAGCCGTGATATAAGCCACTCCTAGAGTGGACGAATAAGCGGTAGCGTTCGAGGAAAACGGGCAGGTGGGCCCGATAGCCTGGTAAGGCGACCACCTAGGTGAAGGTAACACCGAAAACAAATCCCCTGGCGGTAGGTAAAACGCAGGGAAGGACACCCGTAAAACCAATCATGGAAGGAAACCATTCAAATATAACGGTTACCGCGCCAGGAGAATCGGAGTCTCCAGGGCCGGCTGGGAAAGGTGTCGCTACAGGCCTAACCCGGTCGTCATCCAGCGACTGTACCAGAACCGTGGGACTGGTGAGGCAGGGTCCAGGGGGCGTTCGCGCCCAAGTAACTGTCGGAGGGTGTGCCAAGCAGGCACCCTCCAGTGACCTTCGGGTCACTGAGGTAACTGCTGGTGGCTTAGCTACCATCGAGGAGATGGTGGACGACTGGGAAGGCGTGCGTGAGCGTTTTCGTGACGACATGCCGCTAACTCAGTCGGAATTCACTAGATGGAACGGCTGGCTCCAAAGCATGGAGACTGGAGAATTGTCGTTGGACTCGTTCCCGTGTGGCCAATTCCGGACGGCTGAAGCCTTCCGGAGTTCAGTGTCTACGGTGCTGAGGCTAATGAAGAATGATCTGGACAATGGTCGTCCATTCGCTCCAGAAAGGGTCAAGGAGTATGACCCTCTAGAAGGTATCGATGAGCCCGAGCAGAGGGCGGAGCTCATCGATAAATGCATAGCCAGCCGCCGAGGAGAAGACGCGGCTGTACGGCTCATGGGCGTTGCCCGCCTAGTTGCATCGGAGCTAGTATCCCGATACAGTGACAGTGGGATAATGAAGTGCATGGGGCGTGGACTTCATCAGGCAGTAGAGTACATGGCGTACACAGATTCGGCGAAGCAGGGAGTGTCGTCGCCTCCGGTTGCTATGGCCGTGGAAGATGACGACGAGGTGATGCGGACTGGCGACCGCCGTGGAAGTGCAGAACCCTCCCTGGGGGAAGGTTCATCCACTCACCATAGAGAGGTCTCGCCAGCCCTGAGTCCGTTACCGGAGAGTACTCCCCCATTACGGTATCCTGGGAAGAGGAGA